AAAAAAAAAAACACTAAAAAAAATTTTTTTTTAATTTAAAGTATCTCAAGCTGAGGAATTTCAGGAATCTTGTTTCAAGAAGGCAGTTTTTACTGTGACCGCTTAATTATACCCCAAAAAAGCTTCTTCCAGTTGAAGTCATGTGCAGGTGAAGGGGCCTGAATTCTCCACCTTTTTAACTTGCTTTAACTTGCAAGCTTACCCTGGAAATAAATTAGTCACGTTATTCTCACAAGATGTCCCCATTGCCTAAAAAGGATCAAATAGAACATTTGACACACATATCAGAAATACATACATAACTGAACAAAAACGCTTCAGGCTAATCATCTCTACTAGATTTTTTAAAAATCACATTTCAGATTATTCCACCTTAAGGACTCCATGTCAAGTTTCTATAGCTGTACTTTCCAATAGTGCCTATGTATGCATTAAAAAACAGTAAAATTGTTAATTTACACATGCATAAACACACACACACACACACACACACACACAGGCTTTTGGTATGTTGAAAGTATTTGGGGGGGCGCCTGGATGGCTCCATTGGTTAAGCGTCCGACTTCGGCCCAGGTCATGATCTCGTGGTCCGTGAGTTCGAGCCCGCGTCGGGCTCCGTGCCAACAGCTCAGAGCCTGTTTCGGATTCTGTGTCTCCCTCTCTCTCTGACCCTCCCCCGCTCATGCTCTGTCTCTCTCTGTCTCAAAAATAAATAAACATTAAAAAAAATTTAAATAGTATTTTACCCTGTTACATTTATTTCCCAAAGAAAAATGTGTGGTCATTTGTTACTAATGTGAGTTGTAACTGTAGCCCGGTCTGTTTGTTACAGTTTGGAGGGTGGCAAATTCTTTCCCCACAGTGAGGCGTCATATTTATTACTCTTCGTTTTCCTGGAGGTGAACAATTTTGTTTTCAGCTGTAAAATCTACAAAAAGAAATTATTTTTTTTACTCGATCTAAAATCCTAACCTCAGGGTACTTACATCATGTTAATATCCTCTGTGTATTTTTCCATAGGGTTGACTTTTTCAATAAAGTTACATGGGGAAAAGGAATGCCTCATTTTTCTAATTTCGGGACCACTCTTAAAACTCTAGTTTGGGGGCCGGGCGCCTGGCTGGCTCAGTCAGAAGAGCATGTGACTCTTGATCTCGAGATCATGAGTACGAGCCCCCTGCTGGACGCAGAGACTGCTAAAAATACATTTTTGTAAATCCCCCTAGTTTTGTCCTAAAAGAAACTTCCAGCTTATTTTCATTTTCTCAGGGTGTGAAGGGAGCGTTCTGCTTTTCTGCTTTATGGCTGGCAGGGTGCACCAAACTGGGTTGGTTAAACGTCCGACTTCAGCTCAGGTCATGATCTCGTGGT